AAGACAAGGAGAGGGAGGGACCACACACCAATCATGGTCACAGGCAAAACAGACTGGACTTGGGCACAAACCAATTTAGTTCATTAACAATCACCTCAGCGAGGATAATGAGAAAGAGTCAGATCTTAAAGTCATCTTCCCGACCCCTCCCTTCTTCCCAGCTCTACCTCCCCCGGCAGCAGCGCCAGGGGATGGGGAATGGGGGTTGCAGTCAGTTCATCACACGTCATTTCTGCTGCTCCTTCCTCTTCAGGGGAAGGACTCCTCACACTGTTGCCCTGCTCCAGTGCAGGGCCCCTTCCCATGGGAGACAATGCTCCACTAACTTCTCCAACATGAGTTCTTCCCACGCAATGCAGTCCTTACCCATCAGACTGCTCCATTGCAGGTTTTCCCACAGAGTCACAGCCTTCTTCTGGTGCAGCCACCCACTCTGACACAGGGTCCTGCACAGACATCTCTGTTTCACTGTCAATCTCCAGTAGCGTGAGGTCCTTTCTCATGGGAGACAGTTCTTCACTGACTTCTTCGGGTGCAGGCACTCACTCCAGTGTGAGATTCTCTCTCTGTGGGTGAATCTCTGCTCCACAGTTAACCACCATGAGCTACTGGGGGACAGCCTGCCATCTCACCACGGACCACAGAGGAATTTCAGCTCTGGCACACCTCCTCCCCCTCCTTCTTCACTGACCTTGGTGTCTGCAGAGTGTCTCTCACATGTCCCTCCTTTCACCACTGCAGCTGCGCTGTGCCTAACTGGCCTGATGAACCCTGGCAGCCTTGGTGGGACAAGCTCTGCCCAGTGGGCACCCTGGGAGAGAGGCACTTTGGAGCTCTCCCAGCCGCGCCGCCGTGGCCGCCCTCAGTTGAGTGGCAGCAGCCCAGCATGGACAGCTGCCCATGTAGGAGGCCAGAGGCCAGGTTTCCCAGCCTCCCTCCTCTCTCCACTGCCGATCCTGCATGACCCAGGTTTCTTTGTCTCACCTAAAATATGTTATTCACAGAGGTGCTGATTAGTGCCCGGAGCCTTCTCTTCTCCAGGCTGAACAGTCCCAACTCTCTCTCAGCCTGTCTCCATAGGAGAGGTGCTCCAGCCCCCAGATCATCTTTGTGGCCCTCCTCCAGACTCGCTCCAGCAGCTCCATGTCCTTCTTGTGTTGAGATTTCCAGAGTTGAACGCAGTATTCCAGGTGGGGTCTCACAGGAGCAGAGTAGAGGGGCAGAATCACCTCCCTCAACCTGCTGGCCGCACTTCTTTGGATACAGCCCAGGATACGATTGGCTTTCGGGGCTGCCAGCGCACATTACATGCTCATGTTGAGCTTCTCATCCACCAGTGTCTTTTATTATAACACAGTACATGTTTCTATATTCCATATTAAATAATTTGATTTAAATATATTTCACTTAAGATATTTACAACAGAATTAAGATAGTCATGTATGTGTTCAGTACTACTGTAGGTATACTTCCATCTCATACAAGAGAAAGTAAACCTAGAAGCAATACAGAACACCACAACAAGAATAATCAAAGATTGTGCAAGGAAATTTTGCAATGAGAAAATAAAAGATATCATTTTTCTGATCTAGAAAAAGAGTGCTAAACACTGG